TGTTATTTTGCAGATTAACTGTTCACTACATGGTTCTCATATTTTAATGAGATATTCTGTATGTATTAACTCATTGAATGCATAAATTGAGTAACTAATTTTCTATTATGAAAAATGTAAATAAATAAACTAACTTGATGGTGTTGTATCTTGTTAGTTTAATAATTTAATTACTGAGCTTTGAATGTCATTCTAGGTAAGATCTTTATCTTCGACTTCATGACGAGAGAGAAAAGTATCAGCTGAGTTCTTGTTTTTATCCTATTTACGCTATTTTCTTTTGTTTACCTTTAATTTATAAATTTTTCACGATATAGTAAGATATGCTAATAAATGAATTTCAAGTAATGTTTTCAACAACTGAAGTAGAAATGATTCTATTGTACAACTACTATTGCAGTGAACGAGAACACAAGTGAGAACAACCAAATGTATTTGTATACACAATTACAGAATCTCTTAGTAAAATCTGAGAACTATACACTAAACACTTCATTTGCAAAGTATCAATGAATTGTTTCAAACTTGACTGTTTCTTTTGCAAATGTTAATCAATCGTCTCAGACTTCACTGTTTGTTCATTCCCACAGCAATCATTCACTGTCCTCATTTTCTAGTCTTCTATCTTTGTAGCCTTCTGCTGTCAGATATTCTACTTTCGATTGATGATACATAACACTAATATGGAAATCAGTAACACATACCACACTATTACTTCTAGCTACATCATACAGTTTTATAGACATTTTAATCTCTATACTGTTTAGCTTTCTCATTTTCTTCAACTGTTAAGTATAATAAATATGGTCTTGAATAGTTTATTTTAAAATGAATAAGAATTTATATGAAAATCAGTATTCTATTCTCTAATGAATGATTAGATTAGCTTCATATTTCAATTTCAGTGGGCGTTTTTTTTTTAAAAAATTGAGATTATATTTAAGAGAGAATAAGAAATAGAGATAGAGGGGTATGAAAATAAATTCATGGACACGAACATATTGTTGCGTTTAGTAATGATTCTTATTAGCTATTAGTTATTGAGACCTGTAGAGATCCTGTTCTAATTTATGATTGAGTACCAAAAACAAAGGAAGGAAAGAACCAGACGTTATAGGTTTCGTTTGGATATATACATATATATTTAGATTTAAATGAAACTATATGATATAATTTGATCATATATGACAATTATTACTTAGTCTCAAACCCATAATTTACAATGTGCATGTTGGTTGGTGAATAAAAGAATGTGCGAGTTTGTTTACTGACCCATTTTAAACTACATATTCCAAAATTATTTGCTTGTTTGCTATTAATCTAATATAGAATGCACAATTTGTGCTATTTCAGACTGGTCAGCAAGATGTACTCGCATTTTCGTGTTGATATTTTTGTATTAAGACTTTCAAATATTACTTATAGCTTCAAAGATCAACGTATAATTTGCTAAGCTCTCGAATTTAGATAGTCATCGACTTGTTCAATGGGTATGATGTTTATTTCTTGGAGCATCGTTATCATTTTTATTTTAATCCACGACGATGTATAATTTGTCATTTTAATTTGATTAGTAGAAGTAAATACCTGAATATTCGTAGACCCTCAGTATATGATGAAACTTCTCAAAGTGTACTAACAAAACTAAGTCTAAAATTTAATTGGTACTGTATGATGTTCTATGGACTTTCTTACCTTTATTTATATTTTAAGTCTAACAGATTATGGTAAATCATGTTGAAATAGTATCTTATTATCTTTATTTTGTATATTTGAACTAGTTAAACGACGAATTCAGATTATAATTCTCTTCGTTATGTTCACAATTTATTCTAACCTAGAGATGTAAATCATTCAATTTCTGTTAGTCACAATAAAGATCTTATTTAGCAGTGTTTCCCTTCAAATTCAGCACTACACTAAGGTTACCATTGAATACTCACTGTTTATCAGTTTGATAATCAGTAACTTCCTGAAAAGAATAATGATTTCTTATATCATTTGCCTCGATTATTTTGTTTATTCTATATAGTATGTCTAACAAATATTATACGAGACAATGAAGGTTTACCTCATAAAGTTTGAGGTTTTTCATTCTTATTCCCTTAAACTACTACACGTTTGTATAGTTATACTTCATGCAATACTGTTTTCACTGTTGCCAACATCTTATAAAGTTTTAGGAAACAATATAGTTTCGTTTCGCACAAGTCCAAGATGTGATTTCTTTAAATTTAACTTCGAGAATAATCCAAACGGTGAATTAGTGTAGAAATTACAGAAAATCCTACAATTTCAATGTTATCAAAAACGTTAATAGTACAGTTCTCTTATCTATCCGGTAAACTATGTTCGCATAGGGACTACTGATTTTATTTTGAAAATTATTTAACCAGCAATTTTACATAGTGATTAATTCACTCGTGACCCAAATAATTTGGTTCATTTTTTCCCCCGTTTTATTATATATTTACATTTATTCGACATCATATATGTAAGTATTGAATATTTCGGTACTCGGTGACAGTTGGACAATCTGTTAACTAGAATCTGATAAAAACCAAAAAAATTTAATAAACTGAATAAGAACAAATCTCTTCTTAATGTATAATGTCCTATATAGTCATAAATAATTAGAAGCAAGCAAACTGATACTAATAACGTTGTTCTTAGTAAATAGATTGTTATATACATACATATTAGTTTATTTGTATATATATATATATATATATATATATATATATATATATGGCAATAAAATACTCAATCTAATGAATGATTATGGCTATCATAAATGATAGACTAATTATTGTCAATACCATTCTATATTCTCATGTCTCTTTTCCCATATTCAACCATGTACTCAATTATTTGATTGTATCCAAATCTATTCATAGACAGATTTACATGATTTGTAAGTAGTCTAAATGAAAATGTCATTAAGGATTGATGAAATGCTTATAACTGGGCGTATTATTATTAATCATAATCATAATAATAATGACAGTAAACAATATAATCAGTTGAATGATGAAGAAATGACAATAATTACATAAGTAATATTGGTCATTGAATATAAATTTGAGGTTAATAACAACAATAATAATAACAATATAATTGAATAATAAATTAATTTATTGAATAATGAATGGTGGTAAGAAGAAAATGGATCATTGTTTAAGTTATCGTCTAATTAAATGAGAGTTGATTTTGTTGGCAAGTAATTTATGCTTTTCAAGTATGGTAATAATAAATTATCATTAAGTTCTATTGTTATCATTGTATTATTTCAGACAGATAGTTCTTGACAGACTTTTTTCTAATTTTATTGGATTAGTTGATAAAATAGATTTATCTATCAATACGTAGAAGTAATGTTCATTAGAACTTATAAGTTTAACCTAAGTAATCGTTTCATCCGACTGTGGGACTCCTCAACAGTGCGCATCCACGATTCCGCACTAGCGAGATTCGAACCCAGGACCTATCATTGGTTCTAGGTTTTCCATAGTAGTCTAGCTTCAATTGATTCATGATCTCAACTATATAAAATTACTAAAATCTCCACAAAACCCCTTTCTGATAATGATCATATGCTCACTAGTGACTGGCTTCATGAAATATTTCCTGGAGTTCTAGTGAGAAGCAGTAACCAGTGGTGCTCAACCAGGTCTGTTAGGAGATAGTTACACATTGAAATCATTGTTGAATGGTTGCTGAATTTCGTGGAACGGCTGAAGTTAGACATTAACACTTTTGGATGCCGGCTCAGTGGTCTATCGGTTAAGTGATCTGGCGCGAGATTAGTAGGTCCTGGATTCGAATCTCGCGAGTGCGGGATCGTGGATGCGCACTGCTAAGAAGTCCCATACTAGGACGAATCGGCCATTCAATGCTTCCAGGTTTTCAATGGTAGTCTAGCTTAGATCGACTCGTGCATTCAGCTGTGATGATAATGAATAGTTAGTAACTGGAAAATGGCTTGACAATATCTTGTGCTTTCAGTTATTCATTGATAAGTAAAAGCAAACTTGATATTATTTACTTTTTCCAATTTCTTTTCACTAATGTTTCTCATTTGGTCAAGTTTTTGACTGATTCAAAAATTAGTCATTTTTTTCGTCTCAATTTCCATGACTAGCCGTCTTTGAATAAAAACATTTAGATATAAAAATTACGGAAATGAATAATTTTTTCATCGATATTTGTTTGTATTTGATGAAGACATGTTATTAATTTTAACTATGTCAATCATATCATTTCTTTGACCAGACACTATCAGCAACAACCTACTATGGGAGAGAACAAACCAGATTTCAGCGGAGAAAGTAATCAGGAAGAAGCGTTGGAAGTGGATAGGGCACACAAGGCAAGCCCTCACAAAGAGGTAGACCAAAGAACACATTACGCTGAGAAATGAAGACATACATGAGAAAAATGAACAATAGTTGGATACAACTGGAAAGGAAGGCCTTGGACCTAGTGGGTTGGAGAATGCTGGTCGGCGACCTATGCTCCTTTGGGAGTAACAGGTATAAGTAATTAATCATATCATTTATGATTATTCACTACTAATAATCATTTCGATAAAAAAGGGAAAAATTCTTCCCAATCGTTGATGGTATGAAATGCTTAATCATATTAATATGGTTGTATTACAACAACAAAACTCTCATTACTGAAAAACCTAGATAAAACTTTCTAGGAATTAAAAAAATTTGTCAGGTTACCGGGGATGAAAACTACAAATTTCACACAAGCATTACAATTTGATTTTGCTTTGAAAGTTAATATACTGCCTTGAAGTAGATATATAGTTGAAAAACCGAAGTTTTCAGGGTTTGAATACTTTAATAATAGTCAATGAAATATTCGATCCTTTTTAATAGAGGAAGAACCTAATCCTTTACTAATCAAATTTAGAAAAGAATTTGTTACAATAAAAACAAGACAATTTCGATTACAAGGCTCTTTTAAATATTATATCATTGTAAACTTACCGAGTTCTGCTGTACGAAATTTTACTAAATCACTTGGTAATGACAAACCAGCTACTCGACTAACTGCGTGAACTTGAGCTGAATATAAAGTAAATGGACTAAGACCAGTTAGATTATAAAGAATCATTGGATTTTCATTAGAATACTTTGTATCTAATAAACTAAATGAATTTTCTGATTTCATTTCAGATGGATCGATATTTGTTATCTGACGTCGACTAAGTTCACCTAAACCACCATCATCAATTTGTAAACTAACAGTGTATGAATCAACACCAGATGATATACTTGGTGGCCATCGTAATACAGCATAAGTACTGCCAATTGGTCGTGCATCTAGACTTGACGGTGGAGCAGGGAGTTCTAAAAGAATGAAGACACAACTGAAAAGATTAAATTTTAAGTAATGTTTGAATTGATAGGTATGTACAAAACGGTAGTTGCACCTAAAAAGCATGTCAACTGTCAATCTTTCTACGATCATCCGTTCCTTGAAGATTACATGAATAACACGATGACGATGGATACCAACTGGCATGAAGTCTAGAATAAACAAGGTTTCCTACGAACTACTTTCAACGATAAACCATCTAAATTAAAAACCATTTGTTCAGTGTTTGTAAAGTTTTCCAAATTTTTCTTACAATTAGCTACGTGATAGTTATGCTAACGTTTAGTATAAATAATTTTATTGTATTATTATATCTGTTGAAATAGTTTGCCAGGCAAACAGAGTTAAGATGCATCATTATGTCACCTTAGACTGTAAAAGTTAAATGTAACATATTTGCAAAAGTAACTTTTCAAGCTGTTTAAATTCATATTCATGGTTGATTTTTTTGGATAGTAAGTAATCATTCAGTCAATGTTAAAGGATTAAGTAGATTAAACTTTCTGAAGTATTTTTTATCTAGACAAATTTAAAGCTGAATTTAATACTTCTTATTTCATGTTGATAGTTATGTTGTAATTGTAAATCATTAAGACTTTGATATTAGGGGGTTTTCTGTGGAGATTTTACGTAATTCTTATATATACTTGAAATCATTAGTCAAGTGAAGCTAGACCACCGTAGAAAACCTGGAAGCATTGGACGGCCGTTTCTTCCTATTGTAGGACTCCTCAGCAGTGCACATCCACGATAATAGTCTAATTTGTAAACAATGAAATTTGTAGTTATATTATCAAGTACAATGTGTTGTTGTACAACATGCATAAACGAGCAAATGTGAAGTTCTGAATGTTAGTCAAATGAACCTACTTATTGTTGACGATCTTTGTCAACAGTGTACAGTTGATTATACTAGATGGATAACAATAGTACCACTGTTGTTAATATCTGTTATTCCCACACACTTCATCATTATTGAGAAACATTTCACAGCTTTCGATTATGAAACCCTGACTATCGTCGTCTAATAATATCATTAATTTAAAAAAAACATTACTGTTTTATGATTCACATAAGAAATCAATGATTTATGGTATAGACATTTTTTAAACCGATGTGTTATAGTAATTGCTCTAGTTTAAGTTTTAAGCAAACATAATCAGACACGGAAATTTTATGTCGGAGTATGTTGTTCTCTGTGGAAATTCCTTCGTTGAAAGTTCTAAAGAACCGACTCGGAGAATTTGATAAAGCAGTATATTGTCACTTTGCGATTAACGATCACCAGTTCTACGGGAATTGGAAAATGCATGTTTAATTTATATATTGGAAAAAGAAATCGAAAAGTAGAAAAGAACTGTGATGGTCGGTATTCAGAATTATCCTTTAATTTCGTATATTGTTTGTTCTGATAGCCGTTACTCGATAACGGCCCAGCGGCGAAAAATCAGAAGGCAAATACGAGTTGTTGATTGCGTTTATTATTGAACCACGCATAGATTTCCAAAATTACAGGCACGCTAAGCAACATGAAAGAGTAGTGCCCAAAAGCAAGCAAGTGAGAGTGCGAGTCAAATGAGAGAGCGAGTGATCGAGTCAAGAACGAATGTGAGAGTGAACGAGTCAGCGAACAGGATTAAAATGCACATATATATACATATGAAAATGAATGAATCATCGAATCAATCAAGCGACTAATATTAAGGCTAGCAGAATGAATATATACGTAGGCAGTAAACAATGCTCAAACATACATATAAATACAAGTGCAACAATAATGGAGGAACAATAGTATAGATAGGTAGTTATTGTACGAATGGCTCTGTCTGTTAAATAAGTTAACAAAATGGCTTAACCAAATTAAATGTGAACAAACTCAATCGTACGTGAGCTTCTATAGGACAATGTCCAGCTGTTATATTTTCTACAACGACAGATAAGTAGTGGATTATAGTTTGTCGAGGCCCTTATTACGGGATTTCTGTCCAGGTCATTTTAACTAGATGAGGCAACTGAAATAGGATTTCAATGTCATCGTTATATTTAAAAGGTCTGTTGGCCTGAAAATGGGATTTAGCTAAATTTTACGGTGCTTTTGTAACAGAACTGCTTCTCGACATTGAGAATGTAAGTTTTCATGCGTTTGAAATTAGTACTTCCGTACTCTGTGTAGACCGTGGTGATTTTATGTTGTTGAGTGAAAACCCGATAGTCAATAATTTGATTTAGATAAATTTCAGACATTACCATATCCTTATCTAATATGATCGATGGATGACTGACAACATAAAATACATGATACAGGATTAATTTCTTATCCGATGTTAACTGTCAATTCAAATAATATTAGCATAAATATTCAGGTTATTAAATGTCAACTTACGCTTTACAATCACACTAACATTTCTTCTTACTAGACCAAGACCATTTTTTGCAATACAATTGTAACCAGATGATTCTGTGATATCTGTTAAACGTAATGTTGCTTCGTGTGGTTGTGGCTCTGTTAAAGCACGTTCAGATAGCATAATTGGTCCTGAAGGTCTTGGTCCAGCTGGTGTACCTAATGTTGACCACCAAACCATAGGTATTGGAAAGCCTCCTGCTCGACAAGTCAAATTTGTTCCTTTACCAGAAGATACTTCAACTTTATCAGGCATTTCATTAATTGTCGGTGGGAATTGAATGCCTATAAATAGTCGATGAATATATAAAAAAGCATTTTAACCAATAGTTTCTACATTACACTTACCAATAATTAACATTGTGAACCATATAAAAATTTAATAAGCAAATCATTCAAGCAAAACAATCGAAGCTTGCTCACTGTTTTACTTAAGATATCATTCAAAATATAAATACGAATGCGTGCAGACAATCATTCCAGCTTTTGTGTTTGAGTGTGTGCTTGATACTTTACATGCAAAAAAAAGTAGATTATAGCTACTAAGGATAGTGCGAAAAAATAATGTCAAGTTATTCTTTTGAGTAGCTTATGTACAAACCATTACTATAAAACTAAGAATTAAAATGAAACTATAATTTTCTGTAATGGTATCCTCTAAGTGATGTACAATAAATATTCAGTATGTACTATAATTAATAAACCTGATTGTACTATTAATTTATAATTCTTTCTATAGCTCAGTGGTACACATCATCTTTAATGGGATCTGATACTCCACGGAAGTGTAGGTATATTCATCAGAAAAATCTTAAGATCAAGTAATTCAAACATTTCTATTCAACGTTTATATGAGATGAAGAAGCCACCTGTGCTCAATACATCTTTCTATACTCTCAAAGCTCTCATAATACGAGTTCATCTAAGATTAATTGTAACATTAATGAAATCTGTGGAAATAAGAATGGGCTTGAATTTTTCGCTAACAATAAATAAGTTCAACGAAGTACGGCTATAATACATAATACAAATGAAAACTAATTCTAAAATGAATTTGAATTTTCAAGGTCATAATCGATCTTGGCTCAAATTACCGAACTTTTGAAAAGTTCAAGGATAATAGTAATGAATTATATAGCCATTCATTACTGTTGATATTGTTGATTTGAATTTAAATCAGTCTTATATTTTACAAAACATCTAGAACACGTCTACAGAAGATGACTGAAAGAGGATCAATTCACTAGGAGATCACTTTAATTTTTTTAATATTAAATCTAATGTACAGTTATCATTATGTTAGTAAACCATATCCCATTTAGTGAAATCTAATAAGTGTTTTCATTGCGAATATATATGAGACCCATCCAGTTACACTAGTAAACTTGCCTCTTTGTTGAAGAAAATGATAAGCAATTGTAAGATTATCTGTATAGAAAAAAGAGTGGAAATGAATTCACATTTAAATTTATTTTTTTTGTCTATAAAATGTAAATTTTGTAAACCATTTCATAACTTGACATTCATTATGTATTGTATATATATTCATAATCAACTATGTGCAAGTAAACTTGAAAACAAATAAGTTAGGTATATCTTATTGTAATAATGATTAAGTTTTATTGTCCCGGAGTCTGACTCCAGTTATACCATATGTCTGATTGTCATTGAAATATACATATCGTCAATCGTTGTATATAATTATCGACTTAATATGCGTTAATGAATAACGGAATTAAATAAGTCAAATACAAGAATGGATGTTTGAATATGTATATTTTGTACACTGGTTGATCAGAACAAACAATAAGAGAATCGCAGCGAATGAAGCGAAGATGAGCGAACGAAGCGAAACATAAGGACGCGCAGTAGCGTAGGCGTGTGAGCCAACTCCATTTAATCAAGCGTTAATCAATATTTATAGCCAGATAAAATTAAATTACAGATATGTGATGAATAGGATAAGAAGTGCATACACATATGCTCATATAAAAACAATCAGGGTTGATAAGTGAATAAATAACAAAATCAAAACGTGACTCAAGAAGAATAGATTAAATGGCCTGTCCAGAATCTAGAATAAAGTATATGGGCTTAACATAGTAACCAATATTACAAGTTAGTTTTCTGGATGAGATACATTTTGGGAAAATAGAGAATAACATTCAACTTTATGACAATGATTTCTTTCTTGTTCATTGTACATACTATAAACATCAACCTTATCCTCTTGAAGAGTTCAAAGAAAAAAATCATAGTGTCAAACTTTAACGTTTCATCGGAAAAAACTTTGTTACGATCTGTTGGTGTTTTATTCTTAAAGATCAAGACTCTTTTCTCAATAAACTTGATGTTACATAAAGTTTTACGAATTCAAGAACGAATTCTGAGGAAATCGCTGTCGCCAAAAGTGGTATATATACATTCGGGCTAATTTTTTTTCTAATTTCAAGATTTACTAGCAGTGGACACCAATGAAAACACACTTGTTCTATTTCAAGTTTTCATAATGAAAAATGTAACTATTTTCCGTTCGCTTACAATACAGTACTGTTCAATTCTAAGCAGCCTGATAAAAATTATTCTCAGTTAATACTAAATTCTTACAAAGTAACTTCAGAATCCTAACTTAATGGTTAGTCAAAAGTTTCAAATGATTTGGAAGAAATATGTAGATTTGTCATACATAAACAATGCAACTTTGATGAGAGTAAATTGTCACATACATACAGGAAATTCAGTTACATTAGACAAAAGTAACGTCTTAACAACTAAATAGATTACAATTTCTTCTTATCAAAATTGAACAATCAATTGTAATTCATTATTATTATTTTGGGATTATTCGGATAGATATTAGTGAAGACACTAGATGCTCATCTCACTACCACACAAACATACGGAAATATAAACCATAGTAATTTAATTCAATAGCAAAATTATTAGAACTTCACTATTAGATCTAAAGCTACGGAGTTCGACTACTGGTAGGGATGTAGAGCACAAATCGCTGATGAGTCACATAATATCTTAAAATAGTCTTTTATTCCTCCTTTTTTCTAATGATCCATCATAAAAACTCGGTAATCGACCTTAAACTAATATTAACAACCATCACAATTGATTGATCACTGGGTGGTGATCAATGTCATGCGTGTCAAGTCCTTCTTAGTGCTGATCGAATGCTATCGATCAAGTTGCAATGTGGCCACTAGTCTAAGTGGCTCAGCATTGCGTGCAACCATCCAAGTAAACAAGTTTATTTTGTCTTCACGAACGTTAACTAGAAAAGTAATTTTAATATCGTATTAAAATTAAATTTCGACTACGGAGAATCTTTTCGTATTGACAATATTCAATTATCAGTTTATAGTTTCAGTATTGACTAAACTAATATGGATAATGGCAGTTAATTTACAAAAAAGAATAGTAAAGTATCAAGTTACAATCGACAGATGAAAGGTTTTCCAAAAATGTATTCATTTTTGTTTTTATTAATGGTAATCTGAGAAATCCAAAAAAGAATATTTGAATGTATCTTATAAATTTAATGGAATATTTGTATTCAAGTTAATATGGAATCTAGGACTCCCATTTGAAACTATTTGTGATACGTTAGCTGATTATACAATATTCCAAAGATTGCATTGACATCGGAACTCATACATAGTAATCTTTACCTTAAATGTCAATGAGTTAACCATAGAGCTACTAAATTCAGGTACACACTATTTTGACATATATGATGACTATATTAGTAAGGATTTGCATCATATCATTGTTGATATTTGAAATTGAATTTCGATCACTCTGTTTTGATATATAAATTTTGTACGAATTACCTACGTATAACCAGTTTATAATAAGATTTGTACGGCCAGTGTGTAACATAACGGTGTTTGAAGAGGTAGCTAATAGGTCTGGGTCCTGCTCAAACATAGGTAGATCTAGCTGATGAGTTCAAAAATTGATGAAACTCGATTATTAGGTTCAACTACTAGTCGCGAATCACCCATTTGAAATGTTTATGACAAAATGTATAAATTGAAGTGATCCTCACAGCATGACACATGTCAGCGAAGACTGATCAAAACTTAATACTGATTATCAGAGCTGAAATAATTTAGACTTTCATAAACAGTGATTCATCTTGTATTTGTTCAAATTTTACAATTTAAAGTATTGTCGAATATATTTTGAAAAAGAATTAAATATGTTGTGGAATGCTTACAGAATATCTGTTTGTTAATTGACCACAGTATTAATCACTACTCATTTGGCTATAGTTAATGTTCAATGAAGTCTAAATAATGTCCCTTTTACATTTTGAAACGATAAATGAATCTAACTAGGTCAAGTGTAAACTGTTTGAAGCAATTTATTTTGTCATTATACTAGTACAATGAAACCACATTCCAACGCCATATAAATTTCATTTTCACTATATGACATTAGGTATATTCTTATTATGTACACAAATGAACCTAAACAGGGTCAAAAGTGGTATGTCAAACCCAGTAACATTCAAGATTCGTTTGAAAAGTTTATCTACATTTTAGACTATCAAACTTCGAATAAATACTATAAGTGTACATTACGCAATGCCTATAACTAGCAAAACATTTGAAAATCTG